CTCGCGAGGGTTCCATCGTCGATTTGGTTTGATCGATACCATGCGGATTGGTAGCGCTTCGTCATCTGGTCCTTGGGGGGATCGGCTCTCCGGTCGGTTCCCAGCGGATTCGTTCCCTTCAAGCCACATGAGCTCGTTGTATCGCGGGCTCGCCATTTCATGTGCCCTCGTAGGGTTTCCCCATGACGCAGGGTGCAGCACGGCTCTTGCATACATGCTACTGGTATTGATTTGTTCTAGGATGCGTGCGGTCTGTTTGTATTTTTGGGATTTGAGTTTCAATCATTATTAGGAAAAAGGTCGATTTTTTTTTTACTTTGGTCAAAAATCCCCCAAATCCAACTAGTCGTCCGCGAAGGTGATGAGCCTTTGCAGACCTGTAATGCTTCTTGCGAGCATGATCGCTTGATTCAAAGAACATCTAAGGGACCGGGTGGGCACATAGATTTCCCAAGGAGCGAGGATACATACACTCTGTATCACATGTTTCTTTCATCCTCATTTTTTTTTAGAAATTTGTTAGCTTCATATGGAATGGCCATCTGAATTCTGGTGGTTAGTTTCCCCTATTTTGAATTAAACACAATGGGATCCAGTTGAGGTGTCATCTGAATTCTGTTGCTAGAGCTATTTGCTTTGATAGGCTTGTATTGTTTGATGGTTTCATTGAAATGATGTATTCATGGTAACAGTGATTGAGTTCTTAAAACCCCGTAATGATTCTTGCGGAAATGATCGCACAGTTCAAAGAACATCTAAGGGACTGAGTTGTTATGCAACATTTGCATTACATTTGTGTGTTGTTTTACACTCCCTGTTTGCCGAACAGTTACTGTATGTGTTTGTGTCCTTTCTCTTGTTTGACGATTATGAGCTGGTAATCAATTTGATTTTTCATGACAACGATGATGTGTTCTAGCAGACTTGTAATGATTCTTGCGGGAATGATCACACTATTCGAAGAGCACCTGATGGACTGAGTGTACATGGAGCATTTGCACTAGGTTTTTGGTATATTATGTCTAAATTTTGTCTGACGTATATTTATGGTTTTGTTGTCCCCTTATTTGAACAAAAAAAGTATTTTGCTCCTGTCTGATGACCTTGACCACACCTTTTCTGGAGAATGAACTAGTCCTTTTTGCCACTGTTCAAGAAAATTGTCAGAATTGCCATGGACGGTGATGATTGATTTTTGGTCTCGTTCGTCATAACTGGCATTTGTTTTACTTGCCGAGTACCCAAATTCTAAGTCCCCCTACCACATTATCTTCTTGGTTTGCCCTTTTTGTTTGTTTGTTTGGCCGATGATTAAACTAAAATGATAGACAAACATATGTCTCAACTCTCTTCATGTGGAAAGCATAATTATCAATGAGGTCGAACTCTGTTTGTTTTTGTACTTCCTTTTATCGGTCTGCAAGCTCGGTGATGATCACAAGTGCATAGTTCAGATGACCAAACTGTGATTACTTCAACAAAATAGTCTTCTGCTCCTAGCTACAACCTTTGTCTGCCTGTTTAATTTTGATTAAAATTGCATTTGAGAAACCATAACTTAGCCAGTTAAATTATTTTAATTTGATCAAGGAAACTGCAGAGAGCATGCTCTGTGAGCAAATCCATGCTAGCTGTGCCACCTTGCCAATGATTAATTTGGCTTTCAACTTCTGATGCCTGTAATGATGATTTGATGTCAGCAATGAATTTCCAAGAGGATGATTATTTCATATTTGTCGCCCCAGTCTTAGGGTCTGCTTTGGTGGATCTGTGCTGATTGATATACTTCTGAATCTGACTCTGTAAATGAATTGTTTTGTTATTTCATTTTAAAATTATGATTGCCTTAGCTCCTCATGACTGGTGTGAGTTTGTGCTCTGTAATTTGGATGAGGTGGAGTTTGTTGAGTTTATCTTGTGCCATCTTGTTAAATTTTACTCTGATGTTCAGGAACCACACTCTTGCAGCCTTTTGAAATATTTTTATCTGCTTTGTTGAGATACCACAGTTTCGGTTGTTCTTGATTTCTGTTTCTTTCTGTTTTACCTGCCTTGTTGTTGTTCTTTCTGAGTAAGATGTTTTTTCATCTGCTTTATTTAGTTACCACTCTCTTACATGTTGCTGATATCTATGTATGTGAACAAATCCATGTGAGCTGTGGCACTTAGCCAATAATTCATTTAGCTGAACTGCATTAAACTTCTGATGCTTATAACCTTTATACCAAATATGCCTTAGTGTCAGCAAGTGAATATCCAAGAGGATGATGATTTCATATGTTACCCCAGTCTTAGGGTCTACTTCGGGTGGATCTGTGCTGATTGACTTGCTTCTGAATCTGTCTCTGTAAATGAAAATTTTAATATCTCTTTTAAAATTGTGATTGATTTATGTCCTTGAGCTTGCATCTGAGTTTGTTTCCTATGCTTTGGATAGGGCGGAGCTTGTTGGGTTTTTCTTGTGTCATGTTATATTTTACTCTGATGTCGAGTAACCACCGGGGAGTATTATTAACCACTTTGTTTAGACACCATGAGTTTCCCTTGATATCCGTTAGTTTCTACTCCCTCTGTAAACAAATATAAGAGCGTTTAGATCACTATTTTAGTGATCTAAACGCTCTTATATTAGTTTAAGGAGGGAGTATTTTACTTGCCTTGGTGCTGTTTGTTCTGAGCAAGATGTTTCTTTTTACTGTGCAGCCGTGCCTTCCAGAGGTTTGCTGTGAGGACCAACAGGACTTTGGAGGATCTCTCATCTAAAGGTAGCATCACTATACCGATTGCTTACTCCTTGTATGTCGCTCATTTAATGTTTCACCTATTTCGGTGAATATTGGTTTGAGAATATTTTGTATGAAAGTTAGCATAGTGAATCTAAGTAAAATCATTTTGTTTGTGGTAGGAAATGTGACATATATCTTCATATTACACCACTTGTTGCAGTTTATGTAATTGAGTCTTAGTTTATTTTCCTGTTATGAAGATGCTACTATACAGTATGAAGATATTGTTTATGCGCATTGTGTTTTTATTGTTTATCACATTATTTGAAACTACGGTTTCAATTTTAATGCCTTATTTGTGCTAAAAAGCTGACAACTTTTGCTTCTCTATCTTCAGCTAAACAAGCGAGGGAGGAGATATCGGAGCAATTTAAGGATGCTCGCGGACCCAATGATGTGAGTTAAACCAAACCTTTACGTGGTCCATTGTTGTAGCTCTTGTTTGAAATGCCACAGGTATCTGAATAAATCTTTGTTGCTGCAGCGCTTCAAGCAGTGATACTTGCCATCAGCGTTCCCGGTCATCCGTTCTTGCCCTGGTTCGGGATGCCATCCGCAAGTGGCCATTGTATAAAATCCGAATCTAAAGTATCTTATTTTCTATTTAGAAATCTAGACGCAGTGAATTAAGTCTGCCCAAGGGAACTAATTCTAGCGGAGAGACTCTCCTTGGCTGGACCTCGGTTTTGCAAATTTCTATGCTTGATGTTGTTTTATGAGTAATATGTACCATCGCAGTCTATCTGTTGTTATGCCATTGCCTGGCAAATCTATATAACTCTGGCTGCGTTGATAACCTGGAAAGATTTTGACGGTCACGTTGTCGTTTGTTCTTCTTGCCACCCAGGAGCCACTGGTGTGCTTAAGTTTGAAAAAGAGGCCATTTAGGGATAATAATACGACCGCTCCAGTGTTCAGTGAAAGCAACGCGGGAGTGCCTTTCATCATAAAAGAAACTGATACTCCTATGGGAACGAGAACGATAGATTTGTTCCTTTTACTTGCAACTGGATTTTCATTTTTCGTTGTTCTTCTCCTGTCCTTCTGCGAGAGTTCCTAAGATATTTGTGTATTTGGCCGAACGCTCTGGCTTCGAGTTCCCGAATGACCGGTCGCCGTTGATGAAGGCCACCACCGCATCCATCTCCTTCGCCGCCTTCTCGCCGTCCGGCTGCAAGAGAAGGTAGACGTGGTTCTCGCCGGGCGTCTCGTACAGCCGCACCTCGCCGCCCCACCCGCTCGCCCTGAGCTCCTCCACGTACGCGCGGCCCCTCGCGCTCAGCACGTCCAGCCTGGCCACGGTCACCAGCACGCGCGCGCACCCCAGCCGCCGCCACTCGTCTCTCGCCATGGCCACCGGGTTGACCACCGGGTCGTCGGGGCCGTACCTCCCCGGCGCAGACGAAGCTCCATATGCGGTCGTTCAACCGCCGCTCCGCCGGGTCCCGCGTCTCCGACGGCACCGGGCGCTTCCCCCAGAAGTACGGGTCCAGCAGCGCTATGCCCTGGACGGCCGCGCCGCCGTCCAGGCCCTCCCTGCCGGCGCGCATCGCCATGTTGTGCGCGATGTTGCCCCCGGCGCTGTCGCCGGCCAGGAGCAGCCGCGTCAGGTCGGCGCGGCGCGACAGCCAGGGCTCCGCCCCGGACCCGGACCGCGCGCTCCTGAGCACCCACCGGAGCGCCGCCCACGCGTCGTCGTAGGCCGCCGGGAGGGGGTGCTCCGGCGAGAGGTGGTAGTCCACCGACACGACGAGCGCCCCGGCCTTGGACGCGAGCGCGTTGAGGTACCGCTGGTACGTCGGCGAGAAGGCGGACTCCGTGACGAACCCGCCGCCGTGGTAGAACACCACCAGCGGCAGCCTGTCGCCGCGCCCGCTCCTCGTGCCGTTGCCGAGGCTCGGCAGGTAGAGGCGGACGGCCAGTCCCGCGGCGGCGTCGATGGCCACGTCCTTGGAGGCCACGCCGGTGGCGGGGTCCACGGAGGCCGGCACGGTGTCCGTGCCCACGAAGCGCTGGACGCGGCCGCTCTTGTAGCGCACCAGGAAGGGGAAGAAGAAGAAGTCGACGTCCCCGTCGTCATCGGCGGCGCCCGGTAGGCTCTGGGTAAAAGGAGCGCGGGGAGAGGGGGCGAGCAGCGCGCCCGCCATGTTAAGCAGGAGCAACAGCGCGGACGAGATGCTCCCCGCCATGAGCAGATCACCTCAGCGGCAGAGGCAGAGCAGGGCAGGGGTGCCAAGATGGTCCAGCGAGCTACTCACTCCTTCCATCTATATATAGATATAGGGCCTAACGTGTTTTTCAAGACTAACTTTAAGCAAATACTAAAACAGTAATATATGACATGCAACTTACATAAAGCACACCGTTAAATTCGTGTGTGAAAGGAGTTTTCAATAATATGATTTTTATATTATAAATGTCATGTACTATTAATCTTGTTAATAGTTAAAAAGTTAATATATTAGGCAGATGAAAGGAGGAAATAACCCTTTTATGCGACACTGCTCCTGTAGACTCGCTCCGGCTGGGACGGCGGGGAACCGTAGCAATACCATACACTTCTGTCCAAACGCGAGACTGCCTACATGCACCATCTTCCCAACTACCAAACATTGTTAAATGTAGACAATAAATCAAGTAATCATTAAATCCTAAAGCACCGTCTGCCCCCATTAAACAGACTATGTAATTCCAATTACCATGCAATTTATTTAATATTTCATGTTTCGCGTCTACTCGTTTGTAGTACTAATACCATTTTCACTTTAGCAAATCTTTATTTATTTCCTATTCTCTCCATCACTCTGCTACACTCCTCTCGAATTATTAAAATAAAATTGCCTGTACTCATCTGCTAGGACTTATTTGTTACACAAATTGATTTTTCTTAAACCTCAAATTAGAGGTCCGTCTGTATTGTCATATAATAATCCACATAACAAACTTTATCACACACAGCTCAAATATCTCATTTCGTCCTGTGCACAACATGCATTCAGCCCTTTGCTCACAACTACCATGCAAACATTAAATGACTGCAGAAATTACACGCCAATTCAATGTACCATGTCCCACCATGCTGAACAGCCAGCACTCCATCGCTTTACCACAAAAGCAGTTTCAACAATCTTTTTGGTGAGCGGGTTGTGCAGTAAGAATATGATGATTTTCTTTAAAAACAAGCTAGTTTACCTTCCATGGAAGCCGTTTCTCAGATCTAGTGAGCCGTTTCATGGATCGGGCTGGGGATCTGGCGACGGAATCACATCTTTTCTCCAAGATCTACAACTCCTCGGACTTGTACCAAAACAATATCTCTTGTCTGGTTAAAGAAAAGGGATAGTAGATCGTTGTGGAAGAAGAACAGTATGATTCGTTGAGAACTTTCTTCCCTCTCCTCAGATCTGGCAATGCAGTCTTTCTGGGGTCGGGCTTAACTCGTGAAGGTACGTGCATGAGTGTTGAATTGATTATGGTGGCTGAACTGTACAGTGCTCTAATGGACCCCTATGCAGTTACAGTTAATGCCGATGGACAAGTACAAATTGTTCAAGCATACGCTACAGGTCGTGTATAGCCAGGAAAAACTATTTTACAATTATGTTGCACACATCCCGAGACAGAGCAGCAGCGGACGTGATTTCGGTGGGTGGAGTCGCCGAGTGCTCTTAGTCTGCGTCCCATGCATATGACACTATTCTAAGTTACTACTTCCTCCGTTCTAAAATAGATGACTCAATTTTGTACTAAAGTTAGTACAAAGTTGAGTCATCTATTTTGAAACGGAAAGAATATCTTTATAGTGCAAAGTAACATAATAATAGTATCATAGATGGTTTCATTTAATAGTTTGTAGACTCATCTTGTCTTGAAAAATGCTATGTTAAAGTAACATATTATGTTACCACTTCTCATTAATTACTTGTCACATAAACAAAAATTTCTCGGAATACACTATGTTACTACCTAAGTTACTCCCACTATGACTAGCCTGGTCATAGTGGGAGTAACTTACACCAGTGTCATGCATATGACACTGGTCTAAGTTACTACCTCCATAATGCAAAGTAACATAATAGTAGTATCATAGATGACTTCATTTATTAACTTGTAGACTCATCTTGTTTCGGGAAGCACTATGTTACAGTAACATATTATGTTACAGTAACATATTATGTTACAATTACATATTATGTTATCATCTCTCATTAACTACTTGCCACGTAAGCAAAATTTTCTTGGAGTGTGCTATGTTACTATCTAAGTTACTCCCACTATGACTAGCCTAAGCAGCAAACGTCACTACAGCCGGGCCCCTAAATCCACCTCATACGCCCGGACGGGCCGCTCGGTTATGATTTGTCGACCAGATGGCCCCCTCAGACGGGCCTTCCGGGCTGGCCGGCACCCCCCATGTCCAACCCAAATATGAGGCGCCCGGGCATGCCCATCACGTTAGATCCGACAGCCCGATCCCACCGTAATTGCACCAAATCCATCCCCAAGACCTCCTGGATCCATTTGCTATCTCCTCTCTTTTTCCTCCTTGGCGCCGCTCGTCTCGCAACTCCGCCGCCGCGTGCCCTCCGCAGCCGTTCCTAGCCTCTGTGTCGCCAGCTTCGACAGAGCAGTCCTCTCCCCCGTCCTCGCCGCGAGGGACGTCGTCGCCGGCCCGTACACCACCGCAGTACATCCGGCAACTCTCTGGCTCTACCTTGCCCTTGATGTGTTTGACACATTGTCCGACTAGATTTTTTGTGATTTATTAGGGAAAACGATGGATTCCGATGCTTCGTCGGACGAGGAGTATGGACCGACGGAGCTTGATGAAATGATTCAAGATGAGTTCTTCGATTCCTCGGATTCAGACGAAGAAGTGGACATGAGCATGCAAGAGGAAATGGACCGACAAGTGGAGCATATTCTCAACTTCAATGGCTCAATCAAAATGAGAAGAGTGATCAATCGGGATAGGGTGTCCGGAGCAAAGCTACTGCAGAGGTACTACTTCGCTCCCAATCCTGCTTTCCCGAATGATCCATGGTTTTGTCGCCATTTTCACATGTAGAAACCATTGTTTTTGCGCGTTGTGAAGGGAGTGGAGGTACACGAGGACTACTTCAAGCTCACAAGGGATTCTTGCGGACAACTCTCTTTCTCTGTCAAGCAGAAGTGGACGGCTACTCTGAGAATGCTTGCACTTGGTACCGCTGCAGATGTCGTTGGTGAGATGGTCAGGATAGGGGAGAGCACATGCTTGAAGACTACTGTCAAGTTTGCCCGTGCCGTGACAGAGGTGTTTGGACCTGAGTATCTCAGAGAACCAAATGCGCAGGACACGGAGATGTTGTTGGCTATTGGAGAGGCAAGAGGGTTTCCAGGAATGCTCGGATCAATTGATTGTGTGCATTGGCAATGAAAGAACTGCCTCAAAGGTTTGCGGGGAATGTATCAAGGCCACACCAGAGAGGCCACCATCATACTAGAAGCGGTGGCATCACATGACTTATGGATTTGACATATTTCTTTGAAATGCCGGGTTCTCACAACGACATCAACGTTCTTCAACAATCTTCGGTGTTTAGGAGGCTTTGCAATGGGGAATCACCGTCGTGCAACTACACCATCAACGGCTGGGACTACAACATGGGTTACTATCTTGCGGATGGTATCTATCCTCAGTGGGCGACGTTTATGAAGACCATATCTAAACCGCATGGCAATAAAATAGAGCCAGTTTGCAATAATGCAGGAAGCGGCTAGGAAGGATGTGGAGAGGGCATTTGGTGTGCTTCAAGCTCGTTGAGGAATTGTGCGGAGTGCTGCAATGTTGTGAGAATCAGAAACTTTGTGGCAGCTGATGATGTGTTGTGTTATTCTATGCAATATAATTGTCGAGAATGAGGGTGATTGTCGGTGTCAAAACCGGAGGATCTTGGGTAGGGGGTCCCGAACTGTGCGTCTAGGCCGGATGGTAACAGGAGGCAAGGAACACGATGTTTTACCCAGGTTCGGGCCCTCTTGATGGAGGTAAAACCCTACGTCCTGCTTGATTAATATTGATGATATGGGTAGTACAAGAGTAGATCTACCACGAGATCAAGGAGGCTAAACCCTAGAAGCTAGCCTATGGTATGATTGTTGTATGATGAAGTTGTCCTACGGACTAAAACTCTCCGGTTTATATAGACGCCGGAGAGGGTTAGGGTTACACAAAGTCGGTTACAATGGTAGGAGATCTTGAATATCCGCATCGCCAAGCTTGCCTTCCACGCCAAGGAAAGTCCCATCCGGACACGGGACGAAGTCTTCAATCCTGTATCTTCATAGTCCTGGAGTCCGGCTGAAGGTATAGTCCGGCTACCCGAACACCCCCTAATCCAGGACTCCCTCAGTAGCCCCTGAACCAGGCTTCAATGACGACGAGTCCGATGCGTAGATTGTCTTCGGCATTGCAAGGCGGGTTCCTCCTCCAAATTCTTCATAAAAGTTTGTAAACACCAAGAGTAGTGTCTGGCTCTGCAAAATAAGTTTCCACGTATTGCCACAGAGAGAA